TGTACTGGGAGAAGAGCTGGGTGCATGCTGGATGGATTGTGCATAAAGGCTGAAGCTGTTTAACTGAAATTAATAATGCATATAGAAAAAATGACTGGAAAACAGTGGCCAGAGGGTGAGCAAACTGCTGACCTACATGCACATCTGAGTGAAGTGATATTTGGTTGGTCTGTGTTATATTTGAAGTGAAGAACAAAACATTTTACAGACAAATAAAACCCAACCAGAAGTCCAAACCTTCATTTTATACTCTCTACCACTCTGTCTCTGATGCTGTAATAAAAAGGGTACAGCCTCTGCTCTCACATAATCCTTTACCAAATTCAAAACCATTAGGTTTTATCTCTCTACACTTTCCTTTTGAAGATAGGCATCTTTTACCACCAGAAACCCTCAGTTTAGCTCAACATCCATTTCAGTATTGACTGATCCTGAAGTTCTCTATTCCAGGTCAGACGAGCACTGTGATGAGCCATGGTGGCTGTGCTGGGGTTCCATTTTCATGAGCCATGGTGGCTGTGCTGGGGTTGCATTGCCATGAGCCATGGTGGCTGTGCTGGGGTTGAGTTATGATGAGCCATGGTGGCTGTGCTGGGATTCCATTGCCATGAACCATGGTGGGTGTCCTGGGGTTGCATTGCCATGAGCCATGGTGGCTGTGCTGGGGTTCCATTTTCATGAGCCATGGTGGCTGTGCTGGGGTTGCATTGCCATGAGCCATGGTGGGTGTGCTGGGGTTGCATTTTCATGAGCCATGGTGGCTGTGCTGGGGTCACTGTGATGAGCCATGGTGGCTGTGCTGGGGTTGAGTTGTGATGAGCCATGGTGTCTGTGCTGGGGTTGCATTGCCATGAGCCATGGTGGCTGTGCTGGGCTTGCATTGCCATGAGCCATGGTGGGTGCGCTGGGGTTGAGTTATGATGAGCCATGGTGGCTGTGCTGGGGTCACTGTGATGAGCCATGGTGGCTGTGCTGGGGTTGAGTTATGATGAGCCATGGTGGCTGTGCTGGGGTCACTGAGCCATGGTGGCTGTGCTGGGATTCCATTGCCATGAGCCATGGTGGCTGTGCTGGGGTTGCATTGCCATGAGCCATGGTGGCTGTGCTGGGGTTGCATTTTCATGAGCCATGGTGGCTGTGCTGGGGTCACTGTGATGAGCCATGGTGGCTGTGCTGGGGTTGAGTTGTGATGAGCCATGGTGGCTGTGCTGGGGTTGCATTGCCGTGAGCCATGGTGGCTGTGCTGGGGTTGCATTGCCATGAGCCATGGTGGCTGTGCTGGGCTTGCATTGCCATGAGCCATGGTGGCTGTGCTGGGGTTGCACCATCCTTGAGCTCAGAGGCAGGAGGAACAGGAGGGGATGCAGGAGCAGGTGGGATCACAGACAGGCTGTCCACTTTGCCAAGAAGGGCTTGGTGGTATTGGAGAAGAGCCCATGACTTGTATAAGGGGTGTAAACATTTAGTGGCTGGAGTTCCAAATCCACACACAGCTTTCCATTAAGAGCATTAAGGTATTTTGTCTTGGCAATAGTGAAATACCTTTTCTTTGGCTCCTCACTAAGTCCTGTATTTAGCAGTATTGTAAGGCATCAGTATTAAAGCATGCCCTAATAATAGAGGTTGCAAGTAACAGTGACAGAATTATCAAAGGAGGATCTGGGTGTAATTAATGCTCCACTTTTGTTTCTGAACTAGCACATCCTGCTGGTCAGAGAGCCGGTGCTCCAGAGCTGCTCTGTGAGCTCAGCCTTAGCAGTGTAGGGGGATTGCAGAGCTGCTGTGTTGTGGGCAGGATGTATTGCTTGGAGAAATGTGCTCCAGGAGTCTGTCAGCCAGAGATGATAGGGGAAATGAAGATGAGAGTGCTTTCTGGGAAAGTAAATCTGGGAAGGAAAATAAACCTGTCAAAGAGAAAAAAATCATCTAGCAATTGGTGGTGCTGGGAAAGTAACCTAGAGACTGAAAAGCATGCAGGAGAAAAATCAGATGGTGTCATGCAGCTGAAAGAGATAAGAGAAAGACAGACAGAGGGGGGGAAAGCCCTGGGAGTTGGGAGAAAGGGAAAGAAGGTAAAAACTTCCGAGATTTATGGACATTATGCACCTGGAAATTCATTGGTTTGCCATTTGTCTGCTACATCTGGAAAACAGTTTGATTTTAGCAGGATACTGCTTGAAGTAGGATAGGATTTTTCTCCACAACCCCTGTAAACTACTGCTAAAATGAGAAGATTTCATAGGCTGTTTTTATTTTGGTATGCCATATTCATTACAGAAGATACCTTTTCAGTGACATCAGCATCTGAATTAAAGGTACTGGGAGAATGTAATGATCTGTTAACAATGAAAGGGAAACATTTGGACCCAGGAATGACTTCTGCAACGCACAGATCAGGAAAAATGGCATTAAGATGCAGAAGGGCTGAAATTTCCTGTGCTAGGAGACCAGGGCAGAAAAATACAAAATGACTGGATTGCTATATTGCATTTTAAAAGCTAATTCCTAATTCTTGCTGGAATTTGGCACAAGGCTTGTGGCTTAGGGAGCTTGATGAAAAGAAATATTGTGTTGATATAACAAGAAAATAGGTGCAGAGGGGGTAATGGAGGGGACGAGTGACGCACACACAGATGGGCCTTGGAGAAATGGCACATTTCAGCCCTTCCCTGATTGTCTCCCAGCCACCACTCCATCAGGATCTTCCCCTGCCTTCCTCGTTTCATCACCTCCAAATTGTGCTCCCTGACAGTTACAAGAAGGGAATCAATCAGAAACTCTGCTCCTCTCAGCTGCAGCTACTGGAGGCCGTGGGGGGCTGAGATCTGATTAAGGCATTGTTGAAAATAGCTTTTGGCTTTCATCTGAAACCACCATCCTCAGACTCAATCAGTGAGAGCAGGTGAACTGTGCATGTCCTGTTATGTCACTCAGGTGACATAACAGCTACTGGAGAAGCTGCATTTGCAAAAAGGAATTTGCTTTTGAAAGAGCACACAGAGCTGTGGTATGGGCTGTCCTGCAAGACATCACATAGACAGCAACAGTCACATCCAGTATATTATTAACATGTGGAGGCTTTTCTTGCTTAAACAACAATTTTTAAACTATTGCCTATAATCGATGCAGGCTTCCAAATGGCATAAAATACTTCACGAGTATGTTTGCTGCTGTCACTGTTCCACATAAATTCCAAAGCAGCTAAGTTTGTTCCTTCAGTTTCAGCACACAGGACGGGTTTGTAGAGGGTCTCAACACGTATCTGTAAGTGAAGTAAGATTTTCATTTTATTGCTATGAATTAAATCCCATAATTTAATTTGTTGGGTATTTGAAAAGGTCAGATCGATGTCAGTGGTCTCAGCACTGTTCCAGGAGCAGTGCTACTTTATTAAGTAGGCAGGCAAAACGTTGTTCCTATGGATTGTGCATAAATAGTGTTTAGAATTTTTTTCTTAATTTCCTGTCTGTGGACAAGCTGGATGGAAAAAAAAAATAATAGCTGAAGTTGTGTCCTAAGTTGTTAGGGTAAACCATTTCAGGCAATAACTGAGTGAAGAACATGGATCTGAGTCCTAGAACTCAGAGTATATTTCTAATTTAAAATCATTCTGTAAAGAGATCAGATTTTCCTGATTAAAAACCTTGAGAGGGCTTATATTTAATATCCACATCTACATTCCACGCTGTGCTCAAATTTAATCTCTGTCTAATAACAAGGGTTTATAATGATATTGATTCTGCTAGAAGATAGAAACATCTCCAACAGGATATTTTCACAAACCAAAATAAGTGATGTAACTTCTCCATCTGAGTTCCACAGAGCAAAGGACAGGACCTGAACACCCACACTTACCTGTGTGCTGCACAGGAAAGAGACTGGAATCTTGCTCAACAAAGCACCAATAATTACAGCATTCAAAGCTGCTCTACTCCATGTTGAATCTGTTTATGTGTAGTTGGAGAAAAGAGCTGCTCCAAAGTTTAGAAGAACTGTTTTCTGACCAAGCCTTTCAGCCTTTGCCCATTGTATCTGCCCTTTCTGCCATTCTGCACCCAGTGCCTTTATTTCCATGTTGGCAGTGCTGAGCCTGAAGTGGCTGTGAATGAATTTGTGAAATGTGACTGCTGTGGGCACCAGCCTGTGTCTCCAGTCCTGCCTCCTCTGTAAAACACCTCTTTGCTTTATCCCAAGCATTTATCCCTGTGCTTCCCACTGTGGAAATTTCCACACAGGCCTTTGTGGCTCATCTCAGACCCCATCACTTGCATATGTGGCTGCTTTCAGCACAGAAGAAAGCCATTTCTTTGTCCTTGTTCTATGGGGTTTATATAAGTGAAAAATACATTAAATTATGCTAATTTATGCTGTTGCCTGAGCGAAGAAAGCACTCCACCCACAAAGCCAAGGATATTTATTTTAAATTTATTTTTAAAAAAGAAATTATTTTACTTAAAAGCATTAATTTCACATGGACAAGCCCATTCTCACCACCCCAGAATTCCTGTGAGAGTGGCACCAAAATGATCTCAACATGTATTAGCTCAGCTAAAATAATGTGAAAAGGTACTACAAATATAACAGAAAGATTTTTGCTTATGAGGCATAGCTAGTGAAGTGCATTACATATATTCACGTTTGAGGAGAACCTATTTGCATCTTGGAAATATCTTGAGATACTCAGAGCTGCATCTGAAAACTGAGCAAAGCTGTTGATGTAGAGGACACCAATTTTTGCAGTGGAATTTATTACAAATAGAGCAACTTCTAAGGCTTTTCATAAAGTCCTTTATCTTCAGAGCTCTCTTCCTCCTTTGTACTTTTGAAGGGAAAGTGATTTAACACTCATACAGTGATAGCATCAATTTCCCATAAAATTCTCGCTGTGTTTACTGCCAGCTGAAGCGTTTCATTAACTCAGGACTAAATGGCGTTCAGCCGATGCCACAGTCACATTCCAAGAGCAGACATCTCAGCACTCCCTGCCTCCCTGGTGCAGCTCAGGGGGGTGCAGATGCAGCCATGTGTGTGTAGGAACATTTGGAGAGGGAAGCCCTCGTTGTTTTGCCCTCCTCCTCATCAGCAGCCTCTCCGCGTGTGGCGGGGGGCGTTTGCGGGGCGCAGCAGGTGAAGGTGGCCAGGAAGGCCATGCGGAAGCGCTTGTTCATGAAGCAGTAAATGATGGGGTTCACGCAGGCAGAGGTGTAGGACAGCAGGTGGATGAAGGAGATGGGGGCCCCCGAGAGACGTCGGTCGGCGGAAGCCGTGTCGAAGGCGCGCCAGGCGTTGACACTGAAGATGGGAGTCCAGCAAATGAAAAACAAAACCACTATCACCATCAGCATACGGATGACAAGTTTCTTGGCCATTAAGTTGGCAGAAGAGCTGTTGCTTCTCACTCTCTCTATTTTGTTGTGGCTCATAGTAGAGAGCTGTTGCAATGGCATTTTCCTTTTCCTTTTGGTTTTGTTGAGGTAACATCCATCTCCATCCTCATATTTGGCGCTGCAGGTACTTATTCTTCTTTCTGTACATATAAAGTGCTGTTTAAATAGTTGGCAAAATACCTCTGAACAGTCAGCCAAATAAAAAATAAAGAATGCAGGCTAAATCTAAATAAACAACATAATTCATAGCTGAGCAACTGTTGCAAAGAAAGCACTGGCCTGCTTCTGAGTCAGGCATGTTACCAGCTGCTCTGAATCCACTGTCTCCCAATATTCTCACATCTTGCCTCTATACTAACTGATGCAAAAGGTGTAAGAATGTTGCTTAGTCCAGTATGGACAGAAGATAGTTTCCAAGGTTATATGTTTCTACTTAATTTGACAATTTTCATTGTGACATTTATTGACAAAAATGGTCCCCATCCATGGCCAGAAAAAAACCTTTGTATTTCTATAAAAACAAATTAGAAATTTAATGTTTTCTGCCCAGAATCTTTGCAAACAAGCCATAGGTAAGGTTTATTTGCAAACAGCAGTGTAACTGTACTCAAGAAATGCAGCTGGCAAGTTCATGACATAACTGACCATAACAATGACTTTTGCAACTAGAAAGATTTCCTTTTACTGGCCTCAAAATGACTGCTCGTGTCTTCAACTGTAACTTTAAAAAGCCCACCCCAAACCAAATTGTTTTGTTACCTCGTGAAGATTTTCTCTGGCTGGCATCAAATTTTATTCCTCTGTAGAGTTCCAAAGAAATTAGACCATATGCAATCATCATTATAATCCCAGGAATAAGAAAGAGTGTGAGGAGCAGGAAAGTGTACCTAAGGAATCAAAAGACACACTGAGAATAGGGAGTGGCAAAAAAACAGAAAAAGTCCTTTTTATACAACTGAGAATTGGGGAACACAGGATTTCAAGATTTTTTGAATTTTTTCATGTCAATTTTGACACCTCAGAAATTTGAGGCTTCCTACTTCTTCTCCTGCTTCCCTCAGAAAGGTACAGCAGGAAAAAGACTGTAATGGCTGAAAACTGTCTTTGATCCCACCTATGCAGCCCAGAGGAGATGGGCACTCCCACAGCAGTTAAAGGGGGCAGAAGTTCTCTCTGCCCATGAGCAGGACTCGCTGCTGTAACCAGATGAGCATCGGTTTTGGTCAATGTAAAATTGCCTTGCAGAAGCTAAATGAGCACCTGCTGATTCTTAAAGGGGTTCTTGGTACATTAAAAATATTTTAATGGTTGGACTCAATGATCTTAGAGGTCTTTTCCAATGCAAATTATTCTATCATTGTGCTTCAGAGAGATCTGACTTCCAGAGGGCCTTGGCACATGTGGGCAGAAATAGAGCAGCCACAACCTGTGTCTTCATCCCAGGAGCCACGAAGAGCTCCTGAGGAGGGACTCCAGGACTGGCAATCTCTTTGGTAAAGGAAGCAGCTTTTATGTGGTTTCACATAGGCTACTCTCCTAGTCAGCTTCTCTGATATGGTGACAAGCTGGGGAAATAATGATTTTAAATGCATCCATGAGCCTGTGCCTCTCCTGATCCCTGTGGCTTTGGTGCAAACTCAGTAACACAGCTGGGAATCTGTAAGGAGACCACAGAGAAAAGAATTTTGTCCTGTACCCTTCCTCCTCATGCTGCCAAATACCTGAGACTACTACTGAAAGCATGAACACAGTTACTCTCTTTGTGGATATACCATACCAAAATGGTGCAGACTTTAATCTTTTTCCCAGCTCCAGCTGACCTTCAATGTCAAAAAAAAAATCTTACACTTTCTCAGTGCCAGTCAGTGTTTAGTCAACGTGCAAGGACATCATGTCTAGGTACTATTGCTGTTTGATAGTGCTGCTGTTTACCCTGCCTGGATGTGTAGGACTGGGAGCTTGTCTCTCCCCACTTCTCTCTGCCCTTATTCTCCATAAGCAACCAAAAGGATTCTCAAGTAAGACATTTGCAGCTTCATATTCGACTTCTCTGCTATGGAGAACCTTCAAACAAATTAACAGGCAAGGCAGCACACAGAGGGTGTGTCTGCATTTCTCAAAAATTAATCAAGGATTTCTCTGAGAATGTTGAAGTTTATGTGTAAATGAGTGAAAGCAGTATTGCTACACAAGTGACAGAGGCTTTCTTTACAATGACAGCTGGGGCTTAGCAGACCATGGTGTGAGAATCATTGCCATGTTGGGCAGTCTTTCCTATGACAAGGAAAAAGTCATTCAAATGTCAAAATGTGAGCAGCTTAAAAATGTTGGGGTTTTCTTACATCTTAAATAAGAATGATAGAGTGTAAACATTTGCTGAAGGTTAATACTTGATTTTCCATAGGTTTATTGTGCTTACCAGCAGATAATTGCACATTTGCTACCAGCCAGTTGTTCTTACCAAGACTGCTGAATGACATCGCTTGGCCAAAGGAGCCGGCACATATTGGCTGTGGTGTTGTTGTACTTGGTGAAAGGTACCAGTTTGCTGTAGATTGGGTATGGTGACATGATAATAAAGGACACACACCAGGTCGCAGCAATCACTCTCAGGGCATGAGATTTTGTCTGCCAGACCCTGGACTGCAGTGGTTTGCAAATGGCACTGTATCTCTCCAAAGATATGGCAACCAGGTTGAAGGTAGAGACACTTACGGAGACACCTGTGCATATAAAATAAAGAAAAAGGTTATCCTCTTGTTTTAAAGGTTATGTTATGTTCAAATGGTCCTGCTTGCTTGCTGTATGCATACAAAAAAATTAATAAATATAGCAAACTATTTATAAGTAAAAGATTTATAAACACTGTCTGATGAAGCCAGTGAAGAATGTGTGGGCAGTGGGTCTGGCTCTCCAGACTGCTCCAGACTGATAGTCCTGCTCTGTGCTTCTCTTACTGCAAAAGTCCAAGAAAAAAATACACACTCTGTCAAATCATAAAATTCTGGTAACAGGGAAAGAAGACAATTTTATTCTTAATTATTCTCTTCACTACAGTGGTTTGTTCACTAATTGCACTGAAATTCAAACACAGCATTTGAAATCAGTTAATTACTCTCTTAACACAGATGTTCACAGTCCCTTTATTATTGTTTTAATTTTTTGAGTGTCCTGCTTGACTTGTGATCTGATTTTCTCATTCAAGAGAGTTAAATCTATTACAACTTTTTAATTAGATGCTAATGAAGTTACAAACAAGGAGAAATGAAGTCATGAAGCAGAATCTTTGTCCTATGAGTATCCTTAATTTCTTCTGTTCATATTTTATAAAATATATTGTTGTTGTCTGTGTTTCTGTTATTGAGGTGCCCAAGTTCACCATTGTAAAATTATCAATATTTTGTCTTAACTTTGCCACAAATTTTTCTTTCAGTGAATGACCTTTTATTTGTCTTTGTGAATCTATGTCAGACTATAAAATGCCAATATTGTTACAGTTTATTTTACAGAAATCATCTGCAATTGAAATTTTGTCTTTCTACATCTTAAAATGAAAACCTGAGCATATTTGATGCAATGGTTGTCAGTGTCTGTTTGTCAGGTGATGCCTCTGTTACCTGGACATTTAGTGGGAAATCTTCTCTTTCTGACTCTTAAAACAGCTTCATAATGAGAAACTTTATGCTGGTGTATTCCACCAGCATATTTTTTTAATAAAGTATTTTTTTATTTTTTAATAAAGTAATTTTTTTAATAAAGTAATTTTTTTAATAAAGTAATTTTTTAATTTTGGATTTTTTAAATAAAATAATTTACACTGTGTGCAATAAGAGGAAGATGACAATGCTCCAGTAATGTTTTAGGGTATTTTTCCAGCAATTCATTGTAATTGTTTAAACATGGCCTTTAGTTTTATTGGTTTTATCTACAAAAAGATGTTGATTTCCCATTCGTACACTTTATGTGTGTACTTTCACATTACATCAAAGTTCTCAAGGGCATGGGTTGAACAGGGACCTGAGGTTTCAGTGATCAACTAAGAGTCTCCCAAAGCAGCAAAAACTTTACATAATGCATAATGTTCTCCTTTTTTCCTTTCTCTTTTTCTTTTACTTTTTCTTTTGTTGGTTTTGTTTTGTTTTGTTTGTTTGGAGTTTTTTTGGTTAAGAAACAAGCAAATGCAGAGGAAATATTAAAGTGAGACAAAAAAATCACCTACACATACATAACTCAGACATTTTGAAACTCCTAGATCCTGGCTCCACAACCAAAATGAGTATGGCAAGGCACACAAAAGTGACACTTATTAAAGTCAGCCTCTAAAATCTATATCTGTGTTTTATGGTCTTCTGGGGAGCTCTGATCACACCTGGTCTGTCCGCAAAGAGTACTTGCTCCAACCTACAGCTCTGCAAATGACACCTGCTTTGGCCTATTTCTCTTTTCTTTTTTATGTATCACTGCTGCCAAAAATCTGTGGGTAAAATCTGCCCTTATTGAGGGTGTACAAGCCTATCAGTTCTGGTGGGTGACCTGGACACTGATAAGAATCTTGTCAGTGATGGCTAAGCAAGTGCATGTGCTGGGTTCCTCATTAAAGTTTGATCATGAAACATCTTCACATCCAGCAAAAGATTTCTGTATGTCATTAAAGTTAAGTGTGTGTGCCTCTGTGTTTTGCTGGATCAGACCAAGGACACCAAAACCCTGAAGATTTGCACTACAAAGTTGTTTCTTTGTAAAACTGGTAACTTGAATGGTGGATGGAAACAATCAGCCTCTTATAGATCTTTAAATACCTTCTCACCTGTCTCATTAGTCAGTCTTCAAAATAAGTACAAACTTCCCAGACTTACCCATGAAATAAGTGGCAGTTTTGCAAACAGCACTTCCAAAAATAAAATCTTTTAGCAGGTTGGGAATGAGGGTGAAAGGCATGCAGAAAAGGCAGAGCATCAGGTCGCTGACTGCTAGTGACAGCAGAAAGGTGTTGGTGACCGTTCTCATCCGCTTGTTTCTTATCAGCACCGTAATCACCAGAACGTTCCCCAAAATGCTGAGCAGAAATATCAAGCAATACAGCAGAATCCGTATTATCTGATGCAAATCTGAAAATTGTCACAAAAAAAAGATCAGTTACACAGTATTCAACTCAGATTAATATTATATATTTCAACTTTTAATCAGAAAGTAAAAGCCTTTCTGTATTCAGTTTTATGAAGATTTATGCCTTTACACCAACACAAAATCAGTGAAACTGCTGAAATTCTTAAATGCATTCTGATCTACCTAAATTGCACGGCATTAATCTAAATATAAGCAATACAATGTACATTTGGAGAGTCCAATAAAACTTCTTAAAGCATGTGCTTCTCATGCTGCTGACTGTGCACCACTTACTCACCATGGGAGATCCTATTTTATGCAGAAATAAGAAAAGATCAAGCAATCAAAAGACATTTTAATATATGGATTTTTTTTCAGCTTCAGAGTGCTATGATTTCATATTAAATCACTTTCATACATGGTGTCAGATCTGATCACTCCATTGTTATTGAATTGAATAAAAATCATGCTACTCCAAGTTCTTAGCAGAGATGTTTGCATTTTGTGCTCCAAAGTGCTACTGTTTTAGTGTTCCATTATATCCAAATTTTTTCCTAGTTCAATTTTGAACTCGGAAAACCAGCACATACTAATTTTTTTGCTGCCTGTTTCTCATACTAACTTAAAAGCAAGCAGTTGATTTTCCACTCTCTCAGAGAAAATGACTTGCATAGCTCTTTCTTTCTATAGTATCTCTGAATCCAGCTAGAACTAAATCTGTCTGGAAAAATCAATTTTCCATACATACCTTTAGAAGGATAAGGTCCATCATCCACACAGAAAAAAGTGTCATTTTCCAAGATGATATCGCAGAGGAAATCAGTAATGTTGGTACCATTCCCAAGGAAGCTACTGGCATCAACTATTTCCATTCTTCAGTATCCACAGGTTAGCTCTGATGGAGAAGAAGGTGGGCTTGTGACTATCTGCCCATGCTTTCAGTAAACAAGTGGTTTCTGAATGAAGTCTTCAGAAGAAATGCAAGAGAGGCAGCTGTGCAAGGAAGCTGTTCTGACTCTCCAGCAGGAGCACCCAGCACACAGAGTCCTGTTCTGGCTGAGCACGATTTATTCCAGAGGCACACACGGGAAAGCAAAGCGTGTGCACACACACACTCACACGTATGCACACACACTCACACACACACACACACAGACACATCCCCCTGGGTACTTTCTAGATCCACCCTCTTCTGTTACTGCTCTACTGTTGGGATTATAAACAGGCTAGAAAAAGATTACAGCATTAACCCCTTGCAAGATTGCTTCTACTCATGTCTCTGCGTTATTTCTCAGAGGCAGCCTCTTAGGTCACAGCCTATAAATGAGACCCAGTGAGTGAGGAGAGTGATAAATCTCCCTCTCAACATTTAAAATGGTAAGAGTTGCTTAACAAAAGGGCAGAGAAGAGAAAAACATAGTGAAGATTTTGCATTCCTTACATGGAAATTATTCTTGTCTTCATATTTTTTCAGAGTAAACTGAAGATAGGGTAGACTCAGAAAAATAAAAGCAGCTACATTTATCTCAATTGGCAAAGTGCTAGTTTCATGTGAAAGTGCTGTATGTGCCTGATCCAAACCCCAGCAAGTCAATAGAAAAACTCACCAATTTCACTTAGTGGATCAAATCTTATGAAAGCATATTAGAATTGTCAGTTAATATAAGCGGAAGTCTATACATTTCCTCTGTGCAAGAACTTGTATATGACTTGACAAACTTGATAAACCTGATAAATCGTGCCACATTAGTTACACACCAGTGGAAAACAAAGATCTTTATGGCTTAGAAATTCTGCTTTTTTAATAAATATCATCCTCAGTGGTTTTTTCACTAAGTCATGGGCTTTTACTTTCCAGTATATAGCTTGTTTATGGCCAGAAATGCAAATTAATATTAGAAATTAATCTCTACTATAACTGAATGAAAAACTAATTTCACATTTTAAATCCCTTTTACTTAAGAGCAGTAACAGATCCTTTATAACAAATCCTGACCCCTCAAAGCTGATGCACATGGACTGGAAAGCTTGGCTTTCTCTTCTGATCTTGCCAGCTTTGCTTTATAGTACAAATAATGGGAATAGGTATGTAGGAAACTAGATTGAAAAGTTAGATTGAAAGCTCTAACTTGTCAATTATCCTTTGTACCTCTGGGAGTCCTGGATGCAGCTGGCCATCAGTGGCCCACCCCACAGCGTGGTCCCACTGACCACCTTTGTCTCAGGCTGTGAGAGCCTGGCCAGGGCTGTGATCAGCATTGTGAAGCTGGTGCAGGTCTCTCCTATCAGTCTCAAAGATATGTGACAGGGTGAAGGACCAGCTTCCACAGGACAGCAGGAGCCCCTCACTGAGCCCCAGCCCAAGGCATGGGCCCACTTCAGAGTCAAGACATGCTTGCTAAGCACATCAAGATGGGTGAAGCCAGGAGGCTTCACAGAGTCTGCAAAAAGGCAAACTGACCAGGCTGCACTGGCCACAGCTCACCCTGCGTGCTGTGCAGGCAGCAAAGGGGCTGGATCACTGTGCTAGGAGACAGCAGGTGCAGCTTGAAGAGCTGAGGGATGAGCCATGACCAACTCCAGAAGGTACTAATTTAAACCAAAAGCAAGAGCAGAATGTGTGAGGGAATGATATTCTGTGCAAATCCCAGCAACTGTGGAGTTAGTGTTTAAAACTAACTGGATCCCCTTGTTCACATTCTCAGGACTACCAATGTATAAGGTGCAGCTTTTCTCTACAAATTTGTCCAGAGATTTTTATCTGTTATTAGAGTCCTCATCAGTTTTCCTTTGAACACCAGGCTTCCAGACTGGCTCACAATTCCAAGGGTTTAGTTCCCCTGGAGTCCTTTTTAAACATTGGCATCACATTTACACAATTTTTTTCCCCTGGCAACAACGTAGTTCTAAACAATAGATTGCACATCATCGTTAATAATTTTACTATTTCCTTTAGAAGTTCTGGATGAATACCATCTGGTCCTGGGCTGAGCTCGATTCAGCATCTGCTAGTTAAATTGCCAGAGTAAATGAGGAAGAATTTGCTATGAACTCTTGACTTCATATTGGAATGAATTTCTGCATGAAACATATCGAGATCAAAGAGTTTTGTTTTTCTAAGCTTTTATTTTGCATAGATTTACTCAAATGTACAGCCAATAGTCCTCATGTTTGAACAGTTCTGAGTTGCCTTTATAATATCATTTCTCTCCACTACATTTAGCTAACTGCTTGACAGATCACTCTCCATGCAGATCAGTATCATCTCATTGTCTCCCTGCAAGTTTCAGGAGAGACAAAAAAGGAGGCTTTAACAAAATGCTTGCTCATTACAGATGTACTTTTATAATTTAGGAGAAACAAAAACCCGAGTGTCTGTCCACTTGTACTTAATCATGCATTATTTGGGATGTTGAAAGTTTTAGGCAAGAATTTCTCCGGAGCTGGCTGTTTTATTAGCAACATTGATTTATTAACAAAATTGTTTTTCAATTAAGAAATAATTTAGGTATCTTAATATGACTGTGTTGATAGTTTGGACAAAATTATACCAAAATATTTTTTCCTGTTTTGAAAGGAGCTTGCTAATCTGTGACAATAAAAGAATCTGCCTCTTTTAATTCTAGTCTTAATCCTTTTCTCCCCTGTAATGTCATATGCTGAACACACTGCCCTTGCAGCCAAAACAGCTGGTGTGCTCTGCCATTTCCTGCTATCTGTATGTATCTTTTCTCATCCAAAACCAAACCACATCAATTTACAGTTATCTCATTCTTTTTTCCTGAAGAATATTCTGTTCTATTCTTTCATTAATTTGACAAAGATCTTAAATAGAAAATTCACTTGTAAAATTGTGAATTTGGAAAAGCATATCTTATCTGGTGTCAAATTTACAAATAGGTTTTGGTTTATCTTAGGTTAGACCTTACCAGGACCTTGTCAGGTCTTTTTTGTCCTGACAAGTGAAATTAAATAAAACAAGTAGAAAAAACATATATGAAAAGTCATGGTCTAGTTCTGTTCAGATCATACTGATCCGAACTAAATAAAATAAGGATGAAATTTGCTTCTGAGCACCTTGTTGTACTATCAGTGATTTCTGAAATACCATTCACCAGCCATAGGTGGGATCAAAGGCAAACAAGGTGCTCCTGCTGTCCCTGCAGTGCTTCTGCAAAGGTCACATATTACATGGAATGTTGCTTAATTAATCTCTGGAAGACTCCACAGGTCTTCAATGATGAAATTCTTGTATTTAGGTCACGTTATTATCAAGACACATCTCGAGGTATCTTTTAAATTGTTTGGGGGTGACCACTTTTCATTGTTTTGAAGTGCAAAGTCACAGTGTTTGAACCTCCTGAAGATTTGCAGTACCATCTACCTGACCTGTCTGTGAGATGCAGTGCAGCTGGTCCTGATGCCTTCATGGGCATCCAGGCAGCCTGTCCCACCACCTTGCTCAGAAGAGAGGAAATGAGACCTCCCAGGTGATGGCTGTGAGTTCTGTACAGTGTTCGAGGCTCTCTGATGAATGGCATGAATAAAGCATATTTTCTCTGTAAATCCTCAGGTCTAGTTTCATAATAATGGTAAAGTTTCTATGGGCTTCCAGGGTGCAAAAGGGATTTCTGCTCCAGAAATTTCTATGCAAGTTCTGTATACAATTTAGGGAAAGTGCTTCAAAGAAATATGTGTAAATCATTTGTCCAGTGTAACATAAGTTCTCATAACAATCCTTCTGATGCCCTGTGATATTACTGAAGTCTGGGATGAGTCATGGTCCACTCATTTTGCCCAAATGGTTCACCTTGCATGCTGCTACTCATGTTGGCACTTCTCAGACCATCACTGAGCTCAGCTGCATCTCCTCTCCCCTCACATCTGGCCTTCTAACTATTAAAAATTGAGGGCAGAATTTACATCAATGCTCTCTGAACAATTGAAGCTGATCCTTTTCCTTTTTGTGTCTTATCATAACAGATTCATAAGTGCTATGAGGAATGAATGCACACCCATGAAAGAGGAACATAGATATTTTTAAAAGGTGTTTGATTCTTTTGCAGGCTATACATGATATTGTACAACCCTTTTTGTCCTTTCACCCTGTGAATGTTAATTTGCTAGGAAAACACAGTTCAGGATTTAAGCTAGACATGCAAGCAAATAGCCCTGCATACCCTTATGCTGTGGGTATATTATGTGCTAGAACTCCACACCAAGTAAACTGCATCAACCCATGGCCCAGGAGAACTCTTTTTCTGGGTTATATTAACACCATCAAACGTTGGTACCGTTAATGTTCTCCTTTGAGCAAACCTTCGCTTATTAGACCAACCTCAGTCAAAGTCAAAATCCATCACATATTCTAAGGTACTGGTCATCTGAGACTTTTCCAAGGTACAGTCATGACATGGTTTCTAAAAAACAGATAAAAGATCAGGGATTGCCACCAGAAACAACCCCAATAGGTTATACCATCAGCAACAAAATGGTACAACTGTTCTTGACAGTACTCAACTCCCTAACAAAGCTCAAAACAGCAACAGGCTGCTAAATAAAGCCCCACCTGTCACAACTGAGAACTGCAGTCTTTGATTTTAAGATTTCAGTTAGGCACATAACAAAGAGTCACAGCTATTTTACCACAAGAGATTTTCATTAGCATATCTCACAGAGGTATATTAATGAAATTAGTTATGTTAACTGCAGCTCCTACGAGTTTCAATTTAAAGATGAAAAAATAAAGCAAGTATTTGGCACAGGCCACTCTGTGGGAGACTGGAAGAGTTGGGAAAAGCAAGGAAGTCTCTTCAGACTGCTGCTGTCTGACACTTTGCTCTCAAAAGAAGCCACTCTATCCTCATGACGT